AAATGTAGATGGTGCCAGGCATGGTGGTGTACACCTGTAGTACTAGCTATTCTGAAAGCTGTGGCAGGAGAACTGAGAGTTTGAGGCCAATTAGACATCTAACTTTAAGAGGTAATCTGAAAATTCTGCAGGCTTCACCTTTATACTTAACAGTAGTTAACAGTGAAAAGCCAGGCCAGAATCTTGGTTTCATGGCCTCAGAGTGGTATGATAGGAGGGCAAGGCCATGGACGAAAGGTGGTAGGTGGACCAGAGCACAAGTCTAGGCATAAACACTGGAATGGGCTAAGTTTCGTTTGGCCTACACAGCTGTGCTTATGTATTTCACTCTTATACTTGAGAATCATAAGGTTTGTAGGTAGGTTGCAGTTATATATCCTTGCTTTATAAATTAGGAGTGGAAGGCCGCTATATTTTGGAGGGTGGGGCTTTCTTGGGGAATGTTATTTATTGTTTTTCTGATCCATCTTTCCCTCATAAGGCAACCATGGAGAAGGATGTTCGGAGCACCATTCTTTTCAATGCTTACAAAAAGGAGGTATTTACCATCAACAATGGCTATAAATCCATGCAGAAGAGACTTCGGAGTAATTGGAAGATTCAGAGGTGACCATGACTGTGTGTGCTATTTTCCCTTCTAAATGAGCATGATAGCCTACTGGTTATGTTGAAGTTTCATTTGCTTATTTACAGTAGATTGTTTAAGTCAGAGTAGCTCATTTTAAAGATTACTCAGAAGTGAATTATTATTAAAATTGACAATCAGCATATAAAAGACCTAAGTTAACTTGGGTCAATACTTCAATTTAGTAAAAGAAAAAAAAAAGAGAGAAATGAAAATATTTGTACTGTAGACAGTGCACATATGTGTTGAGAGGTATTGGGGATTGAACTCATGGGTTTCAATAACTTCTGAAATACACCCCAAGCTTTTTTTTTCCCCCCATGTTTCCTTTTTTTTTTTTTTTTTTTTTTTTTTTTTTTTTTCTTTTTCTTTTGGTACTAGGAATCAAACTCAGGACCTTTTGCTTGCCAAGCAGGCACTTGTGCCACTGAGTTGTCTCCACAGCCCCATGTTTCCATTTTTATTTGTTTCCAAATATAAAAAAAGTCAAGATCCTTACAGCAGTTATTTCAGATGAAACCACGCAAAGCAATTCATTGTGTACTTCAATCACTTCTCTCCTTCAGTGTTTCTGCTTTATACAGTGGTGTGACTGACAGCAAACTGGATGTTCTGTGCTTGGTTGGAAAATGTCATCTCCCTACAGAAACATGCAGAGCAGTTGCTACTTTGTCTAAAAGTCCAATTTATAGTAACTGCTTATTTTCTGTTTCTGTAGTGACCACATGAAATGAAATTTAGCTGCCCAGTTTTACTCAGCTACCCCACAAATAAGCATAAAAGACAATATAAACACAGTAAATTTTTTTATTTTTGTTATTTCTTCAAATGTATTTAGTACAGGGTCTATAGGGTCTTACTACGTAGATCAGACTCATAGTGATTCTCCCATTTTCAGCCTCTCAAGCGCTGAGATTACAGGCATGTGCCACCACGCCCGGTCTCAATCGCCATCTCAGCATGCCCCGGAGCAGGACTGGCATAGCAGGCCGCTGCGCCCTGCCTAAGCAGGTGCTTTAATCCACGGAGCTATCTAGCTAGCCCTAACACAGTAAATTTTGGAGAGCTGAGATAGTACACATTGTTAATCCTTAGTAGATTCAACTGTTTAGGCCTGAAAGTATTGGCTTTCTCTCTGAACTTTCTTAGGACTTCCCCTCTGATTCTGCTAGATTAGGTTCCAGAAGAACCCCTCATGGAATTCATGTGTGAAAACTATATTCTGTTGTATACAAATTTTCGCTAATTGCATAGCCTAACAACAGTTGGGTTTGCTAAATAAATGACACTGAAGAAGATCCTGACCCAAGTGGTACTACTTAGTCCAAACACCACATCAGACTCATAGTGATTCTACCAGTGTATCATTAAGTTGTTCAGGCTGGCCTAGAACCCATGATCTTCCTGCCTCAGTCTGCCAGGGAGCTGGTACCGTAGGCATGCACTATCACACCTGGCTTTACATGTAGGTTTTCTTAGTGAGTATGACTATATAATCATGTTGATTAGTGAAGGAGCCAACAGAGATGATAGTTGCAGGATTTTTTTTTTTTTTTTTTTTTTTTCCCAGTACTGGGGGTTGAACCCTTGAACTTAAGGCCTTTGCAATGAGCTATATCCCTATCTCTTTATTTTTATTTTATTTCATTTTTGTTTTACCTTTTGTTTTTTGAGACAGGCTCTCACTATGTGGTTCAGTCTGGCCTTGAACTTGTGTACCTTGGGCTGTCCTTGAACTTGAGGTCATCCTTTTGCCTCAAGGTTTTGGGTGCTGGGATCAGAACAGAGGCAGTGTGACTCGGGTGACTTCTGAGGGTTCCCACAAGAGGCTAAACTGTGAATCTATGGGTCTAACACTTGCTTTTGAAATTGTTTCCAGTTTAAAAGATGAAATCACATCTGAGAAGCTAATTGGGGTGAAACTGTGGATTACAGCTGGACCAAGGGAAAAATTTACTGCAGCTGAGGTAAGAAATAATATAAAATAGGCCTGTGGACACTGTGCCCCACATGAGGCACTTGAGAATGGTGGTGGGGCCCAGGTCTTGGTGGGGAAGGGCTGAGGCTCTGGGGATTTCTCTTCTTGTCACCACAGTCAACTTCCTCAGCCCAGGGCCAATGGGGCACATGGGGCAAGGGCAGAAAAAGCCAGGAAAATACTTCCAAAAGAAAAACAGTTGAGGGCTGACCAGATAGTTCAGCAGACTAAGCAGGTGCAGGAACCAGGGTTCAATCCCCCTTGTGCCTGCTGGCCCCGCCCCTGGGGTGTGCTGAGATGGCAATTGAGACTGGGTATGGTGGGTCGCGCCTATAATCCCAGCACTTGGGAGGCTGAAAACAGGAGGGTTACTGTGAGTCCGATCTGTGTAGTAAGACCCTGTAGACCCTGTAATAAATATATACAAAAAAGAAACAATTGAGATTCACATCAAAGTATCTTCATATTGGACTGGGGAGATAGTTCAGTAGTCTAAGCATCTGCCTTGCAAGCTCAAGGACCCGAGTTCGATCCCCTTTACCACATGCTGAGCCAGGCCTCGGAACTCTGGGCTCCACACCAGAAACCAGCTGTGGTGGCCCATGCTTATAATTCCAGTGCTGCGGAGGCTGACACAGGAGGATCACTATGAGTCTAAGCTGCTGAGACCCTGTATAAAAAAAAAAGAAAAAAATCTTCATAATTGAGTTCTATAATTAAAGGAGAAATCAGTCTCCATTCATTCATCTACTTCAGAAGTAGTAACAGAAAATAAAGTGCTGTTCTGAAATGAAACTTATTTTGCTTAAGGCCACATTTTATTTCTGCATAAGAGATAGGTGAAATAGAGGCAGAGAAGGGAAGAGGACAAAAGGAGAATGACGTGATAGGAAGAAGAACATAGAAAGATAAAGCACAAGAACAACTTCCATCAAAAAGAGACCAGAGGGCTGGCAAGACAGCTCAACAGACTAAGCACCTGCTTAGGCAAGCGCAGGGACCAGGTTTAATCCAGGGCATCGTATGTTGTGCTGGCTCTGCCCCTGGGTGCACTGAGCCAGGTACTGAGACCAGGTGTAGTGGTGGGTGCACTGTAATCCCAGCACTGGGGAGACTGAAACAGGAGGATCACTATGAGTCTAGGCTGTGTAGTGAGACCCTGTACCAAATACATTTAAAAAAAAAAAAAAAAAGAGACCAGAGGCAGGCAAGTTCAGGACCAGCCTGGGCTACAAAGTGAGCTAAAGGCCAGCCTGAACTGCATAGCAAGACCCGAGACCCTGTCTTAGAAAGACAAAAAGATAAAAAGAGAGAAACTTTTTACTCAAATACTCAACACCCAAAACTAAGTAAGAAAAGTTTAGCTCACAGTTTGTGAAGGTTTTAGTCTATACTTGGCGGATTCCAGGCAGAGTGGCACATGGCAGAGAGCCTCTCCTCATTTTTTTTTCCTTGCTAAGTTATATCTTTATTTTGAAGAATATAAACAAAAGCAAAAACAAATAGAACTACCCTGGGGCTGAGGGTGTAGAACTTACACAGTGCCCATGCCCTTCTTTTGCACAGGATGAGGATATTTACAAACTAAGAATCCTGGCTCCCTGCTGAGTCACTTAATTAAATTCTAAACTTCTCAAGTTGACACAATGTAGCAACCACTACAATCCACCCCTTTTTAACTTGGCAAGCAGACATTTCCTTAAACCAGTTTCCAGATACATAGACCTGGAATAAAATGTTTATTAAAATTTACAACTTGAATATTGTATTACATTAGAACCAAAACATTTTGCTCCTGGGCACCACCTCCCCAAAGACTTATGCACATCCCTTTATGCAAAAGTCACTTCAGTCTGTCTGTAAGAGTTGCCAAAATCCTAACAGTTTCAGCATTGTTAACAAGTCCAAGTCCAAAGATGTAAGACAAACTCTTAGCTGAGAGCCCCCTTATAAATGAAAAGTTAAACACTTCTAACATTCAAAGGCACGAGATAAACATTAGCATTCTAAAAGGTATACACAGGAGGATACAAACCACTGGGACCAAGGTAAGTCCAAAATCCAGAAGAGCAAGCATTAAGTCCTGCAGTTCCTTGTGGAACATCCGAAGCAATCTGTAAGGAGTTGTGAGCTCCAAAAGCCTTATGTGGTTCCACCCCTATGACACTCCTGCTGGTAGCTCCTATGGCTTTTCTCTAGGGCTGGCTTTGCTTTCTCCTTGCAGTTCTCATTAAATAATCCATGTTCCTGGCTTTTTTAAACTTTTGAGGTTTTCATTGAATAGGCTTCTCATTTATAGCTTTACACACTGCCCTCTTAGGCACATTGCCTGGCCTCCCAGGCCTTCTGAAATCTATGTGGAAGCCTTTTTAACCTCAGAACTCCTGCATTCTGTGTGTGCCTAAAATCAGTGCCACATGGATTATGCCAAGGGCTGCTGCCAGTTAGAACAGTAGCCAGGCTTTCTTCTCTCTTGGCTGTAGGGACCGAGTGCCTGGATTTCTGAGCATTTTGACCATGATTCTGAGAAACAGAATCTGGTGCCATTCTGTAATCTGGTGTTGCTGCCACCTCCATCATGGAACCTGATGTGGCTGCCGCCTCCATTCTGGAACATGGGGCTCTGCAGCTTTCTCCTCAAAGCAAAGTCCCTCACCCTTGTGATTCTGAGACTGCAAAGGGTGAGAACTTGTTGCTTCCTGCATTGCCCTCAGGACATCTTTTCTACTCTCCTGTTCCTTCTCAGCAATGGAGATCCTCTCACAGCTTTATTGGAGCTTCCTTTCTAGCCAGACTCACATTTTAAATCATCCTGTTGGGCTCTTTGCTTTTGATTCTCAACATAAATCTGGTTAAAAGCCCCCAACGAGGGCCAGGGAGATGGCTCAGTGGAAAAAGCGCTTCCATGGCAAGCGCAAGGGCCTGAGTTCAATCCCCGGTTCCGCAAAAAAAAAAAAAAAGCCCCCAACAACAGCCATGCCACTGCCTCAATATTTGACTGCCTTGAGATTTCTTTTGCAAGATTAACTAGTCTACTGTGCTTAATTTCAGTCTCAGGCAAAGTCTCTGGACAGAAACAAAATGCAGACAAACTTTCTGCCAAGCTATAGCACAAATCATCCACAATCCAACAACCAATTCTGTCCTTCCTCCCAGCAGAAACCTCCCTAGCCTGGTCTCTACAGGCCGGCTTTTTATCAGTCTTCTGAGCTCTGACAAGAATCTCCCAAACAGAACAGCCAAAGCTGTTCCAGTGCTTCCCTTGTAGGTGACATCTCCAAACCTTTCCTGTTTCTTTCCATAAGCCATTCCCAAAAGCTTGTAATCCACATGGTTAGGCTTAGTCACAGCAGTGACCCCACTCCTGGTACCAAATTCTGTCTCAGTTATTTTTTATTCATTGCTGGGACAAAATACCCGACACCCAAAATTAAGGAAGGAAAGCTCCCAGTTTGTAAATGTTTCAGTCTATACTTGGCTGGCTCCCGGCAGAGTGGCACATGGCAGAGAGCAGCAGTTCATGACAGCAGAAAACAGCTAAGAGCAAAGGAAAGGGCAGCAGCTTTTTCTCTCCTCGTACTGTAAACACACTACCCTGGGGCTGGGGGTGTAGAACTCACACAATGTCCATGCCCTCCTTGCACAGAATGAGGATGTTTACAAACTAAGAATCCTGGCTCCCTGCCGAATCACTTAATTCTAAACTTCTCAAGTTGACACAATGCATCACCACTACAGAGACCAAGGCAGATGCAGACACAAATAATGAACCCTTAGTCACAGGAAGTGGACATAGAGATATAGACCCTGCAAATGGCATTCACAGTAGCTGTATCAGGAGGAAAAAGAAGACACACACAGGGAAAGATGGACTACAAAGAGAAAGTAAAGGGGCCGGGGAGATGGATCAGTGGAATAAGCGCTTCCCTGGCAAGCGCATGGACCTGAGTTCAATCCCTGGTTCCGCAAAAAAAAAAAGAAAGAAAGAAAGTAAGCACAGCCTTTTATAGAACTCTGTTCCCTTTAGGCTAGCCACAAGGAAAGCCATATTGCATTTGAAGAAACAGCACAGTCAGGCATTGTGCTGCATGCTTATAATTCCAGCTACTCAGGAGGCTGAGGCAGGAGGATCACAAATTCAGCCAGGCATGGTGGCACACACCCATAATCATAGCACTTGGGAGGCTGAGGCAGGAGAATCGGAGAGTTTAAAGCCAGTCCAAGCTACATAATGAGATCCTATCTCAGAAACACAAAACAAAAAGAGAAACTTAAGTTTGAAGCCAGCCCAGGAGATTCAGTGGGACTATTACAACAGTCTGCATTGCCACATTAAAGGGGGTAGGTGGGCCAGCCTAACAGCTCATCAGATAAAGCACCTGCAAGCAGGTGCAGCGGCTTGGCCCCACCCCCAGGGCGTGCTGAGATGGCAATTGAGACTGGGCGTGGTGGCACACACCTGTAATCCCAGCTCTTGGGAGGCTGTAAATAGGCGGATCACTACTAGTCCAGTCTAGTTGTGAGACCCTGAACACCCAGTTGACCCTCCCCTAAAAATACCAAGAAAAAAAAAGGGGGGTATGAATAGTGTACACCTGTCACCTTGACACTTAGGAGTTTGAGGCAAGAGTTTCCAGCAACTGGTGTGGTGGGAGGATATTTTATTAGGCTAACGTTCCAAAGAACAAGCCTGCCTCTCAAAGGACTCGTGCCTTCAGGCAGCCATGCCTCTCAAGGCTGGCAGCCCATTTCCACTCAGAAAAAGCCCAGTCACCAGGCTCTAACCCTCCCTCCATATGCCCTTGCTTTCTCAGGCTGGCCTCAAACTCATACTGATCCTCCTTCCTTAGCCTCTCAAGTGCTAGGATTACAGATACGTGCCACCACACCTGGCATAACATGTATTTTTGAAAATATTATCTAGTTCTAGTTCTTCCAGCCATGCTGTGCGGCAGGTGAGCAGTCATTTGTATGTATGTTAGTAATTTGATTGGTTAGTCTTTTCCAGACAGGTCTCATGATGGAGTTCAGGCTGGGCTTAAACTGATTTATATAATCCAGGATGGCATAGAATCTGAGGTGAGGGCCAGGGAGATGGCTCAGTGGAATAAGCGCTTCCCTGGCAAGCGCAAGGGCCTGAGTTCAATCCCCGGTTTCACCAAAAAAAAAAAAAAAAAAGAAAGAATCTGAGTTGAAACTCTTGCCTCAAACTTGTGTCAAGGTGACAGGTATATGCTACTCATACCCACCCCCTTTTTTTGGGTATTTTTAGGGAAGGGTCTACAGGGTGTTCAGGGTCTCACTACTCAAGCCAGTTCTAGAATACTTCTTCTTCTTTTTTTTTTTTTTTTTTGGCAGAACCGGGGATTGAACTCAGGCCCTTGTGCTTACCAGGCAAGCGCTTATTCTACCGAGCCATCTCCCCAGCCCCTAGAATACTTCTTAATATCTGATATTTGAAATAAAGGTTAGATACAGTGGTACCTTGGTTCACAAACTTAATTCTTCCCATGATTCTGGTTGCAAAGCATATTAGACAAGAACTGAATTAAATTAAGTGGTTAGGTTCAGGGTTGACCTTATGGAGAAACTTGATGTGGTTCTTGTCCACTTTGGTTTGTGACCAGAATTGTAGAAAGAATTAAATTTGTGAGCTGAGGTTCCACTGTAAATGCCTAGCATCACCGGCAGCAGGATGCTTGCCAGCGCAGCCCAGTGCAGGTGTGTGGTGCCACGAGTGACGAGGCTTTCCAAAATACTGACAACCTCTTTGTAAATTTTTGAAATAAAAGGTATAATTCTTCTCTTGATTTCCACAGTAGCTATATATCTGGGAATTTGATTTATATTAATCCATGCAAAAATACTGTGTATATTAATAGGAATGAAAGTCTGGGCTCATGGTTTGCTACTGCTGCTGCTGCTGTTTATCTTTTTTTACTTCCATGAGCATCTGAAAAGGCATTCAGCAGTGCAGGACAGTTCTTCACTGAGCAGTGTGGACATTACTATGCGGGACTTGTCTAAATATTGCAAGACCTTTACTGTCACCACTCTGAATCCCTGCTGATGGCTTGAACACCTCCATTGAGATCCTGTGGCCCATCACATACAGTGTCATTAATAACTATGCCGCATGCTGCATTTGCTTTCACACTGTAAAACCTGATGGTGGACACTCCTTTGCCTCACTGTGTTATTTACACACCACATTTTTTCACGTGTCTCTTTCTTAAAATGCCAGCTAGCCATTAGGATGTAAGTGATGACAATACCAATTCTATATCCACTGCATTTAGATACCATGAAGCAAGTCCCAGAACCAGGCAGTAATAAATACCAAATTTCCAAGCCAAAACTGTTCTGAGAAAAAAAAAATGTGTGTGTGTGTGTGTGTGTGTGTGTGTGTGTACTGCAAACTAGAGCTGCCTTGTTATTGTCAGCCAGGGAACACAGCAGGTATTTAGGGCTATCTAATGTTTGACAGGAAATCAAAAGGCAGAGATAGACAGAATCTAGTGAGATAGTCAGTTGTGTAGGATCTATAATAGGGTCCATCCCTCCCTCACTCTCTTCCTTCTCCAAAGTTATTTGTTAGAAATTTCTTGTGTGCCAAGTTGTGTGTGAAGTCTCACTTCACAAGGAACCTAATAATCTGGGGGAATCAAGCAGATTAACCATCTAAAAATAACCATCTTCCAAATTCCACATTTCCATAAAACCACAGAAAAAGAGGCATTGGATTGTAAGGCCTAGAAGAAACGTCCTTTATTAAAAATTTATCTTGAGGGCTGGTGAGATGGCTCAGTGGTCTAAAGCACCTACTTAGAACAAGCTTAGCAAAGCACAGGGACCGTGGTTCAATCCCCCAGCACCTCATGCCAGCCAGCCCCGCCCCCTGGTGGGCTGAGCTGGCCACACACACACACAAATAAATAAATAAATAAATAAATAAATAAATAAATAAATAAATAAATAAATAAATAAATAAATAAATAAAATTAAAAAAAAAATTTATCTTGAGGCTGGGCCTAGTGGCGCACACCTGTTGAGGCAGGAGGATAGCTGTGAGTTCAAGGCCAGCCTGGACTGCGTAGTGAAACTGTCCCAGAAGGACAAAACAGCAAACAAACAAAAACTTACTTTGAAAAAAACTGTTGTTTTGGGCGAGGCATGGTGGTACACACAGTAATCCTAGCACTAGGGGGTCTGAGGCACGAATAGCTCCACCACCAGCTTAACCACAGCCTGTCTCAAGCAAAAACAGTATTGCAGTCATTGATTCATTTCTTTTTATATTGTGGGGAAGGCAAGGGGAGAAGGATAACGAGAGTGGAGAGTGCGCAAGAGCAGAGGGCTGTGGCAGTTTTCTGGGCCAGTGGTTTCCAAAGTGGGAGGCGTGTGAGGGAGCACTGAGGTACAGAAGGAAATCGGAGCTGTTATTTATAGTTCTTATTCTTAAAACATTTGCTCTTTTGAGAGTATGTTTGAAACTATAAGATAGATATATTTTATATACAAACATATACATATTGGAGTTTATGTTCACATTCTTTCCTGATGAGTGCCTAGTGAAAAAGTTAAAAACTATTGGTCTGAACTCCGTCACCCCCAGGTCTTCTCTGGCTGAGTCAGCAAGGTCAGCTCTAGATCCTTCTCTTCAGCTTAGTGAGAACAAGAGTGCTTCCCAGGAGATAAGCAGGCAGTGTGCATTACCTTGGTTTGGTGGGCTGTTGACCTGAAAGATAATTTTGTCCTGGGGTGAGATCCAGCTCTCCATCCTGATATCCTTGTGGGCGCTGAAGAGAAGACACGGCCTAGATCAGTGGTGCCCTCTTTTGGCACACGGGCCAAGTTGCTTCAGCAGCTAAGCATCGGATATTCAGGTTTAATGGCCGTGCTGTCACTTTGTAATAAATAATTGGGCTTTGGGTTATGGTTTGGCCATTCAGTCTCTAAAAGGGTCACCGTCACTGGCCTAGATCAATGCTTCACATCCAGAGGTGGTTTTGCTTCCTCCTGTCCTCCCCAGAGGACGTTTGGCCAAGGCTGAGACGCTTTGCCTGGTGTCTGGTAGGTGGACCTGGAACTGGTGCTGAATGCAATTCTGTGAGCTTCCTTTAGTGAACAGTCTTCCACTTTTGGTTTGTTACCCAGATACTCAGCTTTGAAAATGGCAGTGCAGTGTGAATATTAGAACCATTTGCTCAGATAAGTTTGTAGATTTTATACAATCCTTTATACATTTACATTTAAATGCCTTGTTGATTTGAAGTATTACCCTTCAACTAGTCAAGGTCTTCTTGGTAATACAAGTATTTTGGACAAAAGTCTTTTCAACATATTCATGGGTTGTTATTTTTCCCTTTGTATAGTTTGAAGTCCTAAAGAAGTATCTTGACAGTGGCGGAGATATCCTTGTGATGCTCGGAGAAGGTGGAGAATCTAGATTTGACACCAATATTAACTTCCTACTAGAAGAATATGGAATCATGGTTAATAATGGTAATTACTATCATTCTAAATAGAGGCACTGATTTCCTATTTCTCGTTCATATCATAGCCTTCTGGGCCTGCTGGTATAAGGGAAACACCCTGGGATTGAGTCACATGGCCCAGCATTTTGGCTCACCAGCAGTCTGAGTCTCACAGGCTTAGGCTTCTTCATCTGAAGATGTGTGGAGATGGGGTTTTTTTTGGTGGAACCAGGGATTGAACTCAGTCCCTTGTGCTTGCCAGACAAGTGCTTATTCTACTGAGCTATCTCCCTGGCCCCTATATGCTATTTTATTTTTATTTTATTTATTTCATTTCATTTTATTTTATTTTATTTTATTTTTGCAGTACTGGGGATTGAACTCAGGACCCTGCACTTGCCAGGCAATTTCTTATTCTACTGAGCTATCTCCCCGGGCCCCCGAAAATGTGAGGGATTGGAGCAGACTTCCAGTGTTCCTTTCAGGTCATTATTGGCAGGAATAGGGCTAGGGAGATAGCTCGATGGTCTAGGTCTAAGTGTCTGCCTGGCAAGCAGAAGGACTGGAAGGTTTGATCCGTGGTGCCACATGTTGCGCCACCGTGCTGGCCACAGAAACCAGGCATGGGTGGGGCATGCCTGTAATCCCAACACTGGGGAGGCCAAGACAGGGTGATCACTATAAGTCCGAAATGCATAGTGACACACTGTACCAAATGAATGAATGAATCAATGAATAAATAAATAATTTTTTAAAAAATGATAGGAATGTATAGTATTAGTCTGATTTGCAGTCTGTAATGCACCTCCTCTTTTTCCCTTTCAGATGCTGTGGTTAGAAATGTGTATTACAAGTATTTTCATCCTAAGGAAGCTCTGGTTTCCAATGGAGTATTGAACAGGTAAGCATGTTAAAAGCAGAAATGCCTTTAAAAATGGCTCTCAGCTCTTTCACAGATTCTTTTCACTGCCCCATTTCTCCTTATGTTTTTGCTTTATTACATTATAATTTATTTATTTACTTTTGTCTTTTTGAGACAGGGTCTCCCTATGCAGTTCAGGCTGGCCTTGAGCTCACTTTGTGGCCCAGGCTGATCTCAAATTTGCAACGATCCTCTTGCCTCAGCTTCCTGAGTGCTGGGATTATATAATTTATTTTTTATATTAATGGTTATGAATAAAAATCTATTCTTCATCTTTTGAAACTTTCCTATTTACCTTCTCTCAATGAAGGTACTTTCAGTTGCAAGTAATAGAAAATCCTAATCCAAATGAGATTAAACAGTAAGGAGATTTTGTTGATTTATGTCATTGAAAAGCCCAGAAATAGGGCTGGTTTTGAGTAGGAAGTCACTAAAAGATTCCTGTCACTAGGGCTGCACTTCCATTTCTGTCTTGGCTTTGCATTCATGCATGTGTAGTCTGAGTTGTAGTAGCAGGTCCTGAATTCATACCCAAGTGCCACAACAAAGCATGCCTTGATCCCAGTATTTCTAGTAAGAGTAGTTGTGAGACTTACTCTTTTGTGCTGGCCTAGCCACAGTGTGTTACAGGTAGGCCAAGTGACCTCACTAGGTTATCTTTTGCAGCCTGCGGCGGCATCCACTTTCTAAGATCTGGATTTTAGGATGCATGAGGGGGCCACATCAGATGCCCCCTATAAATTTTTTCCTATGTTCAAAATGATTTCTTTCACACTTTAACTCTGCTGACCCTGGAGTGTAGATCTAGGATATGGACTCTTTTTTTTTTTTTTTTT